TAATCAATGTGATCTTCAAAATTCACTTTTGAATTCAGGATGACCCCAAGATACTTATAGATCTTGACTTGCTCTATTTGATAATTATTTAAGGAATGTAATTGTGGAAAAATAACTTCCTGCTTTAGTCCTGGTGAGAAGCATAGCACCTTGGTTTTGGAGGTATTCTGGACTATTTTAAGAGCAACTAGCTGATGTAATTTGTTGAAATCACCCTGTAGCTTAGCAAATTACGTCATCAGAAGAGCGGCCAGCAGTAATTAGTATCGTGTCATCTGCAAAAAGATTTACCCTGGAATGATCCAGGTCAGTGCCCAAGTCATTGACATAAAGATAGAACAAAAGGGGGCCGATGATGGAACCCTGTGGAACCCCTTTTGTTATCTTAACACTGTTTGACCTCCAACCATCTGTGAATACAGTTTGGGTGCGAGAAAAGAGGTAATTTTCTAACCATTTGACTGCGTTTTCGGAAAAACCGAAGCAACTTAGTTTACTAAGCAGGGTATTGTGGTCTACTGTATCAAAAGCTTTGGACAGGTCTAGAAAAAGACAGGCACAGTACTGCTTATTATCAAGGCTACTGTAAATGTGATTCAGAGAGTCTAATGCAGCAGATGTTGTGCTGTATTTTTTTCTGAACCCAGATTGTTTTAGATGTAGTAGATTGTTGGTGGACAGGAAACTGCTAATTTGGTAGGTCAATTTTTCAAAAATTTTCATCAACGGGGACAAAATTGAGATAGGTCGGTAGTTATTTGGATCAACTTTAGGGCCCCCTTTGTGAAGTGTACGCGATAATAGTGCATCGCACGTCGTGCTCTGCTAGAGCCGGCATCACTCTGTAACACACACGATGCTGTCCGCGATGTAAGTACATCGCACGCCATGGCCCTCTAGGGCCGGTACCATACAATGAGATCCCCAATGTCACTACACGTGCAAAAGTGTAAAGACGTGTATTGTCATTTTTTTTAAAATAAGCGTCTACGCCCTGGTAATTTGGGAACATTGAGACCTATTCATGCATTCATAAAATGTATTTTATCAAATTAATTTAAACCTGTGTTGGTAAGTTTACAGTTTGTGGCAGAACGCATGGAGGATTTATGCTGTGTAGTAGAAAAAAGATTAGGTGATGACGCTGGCCAGCTGTCGTTTCTCCACCATGGTATCAGTGTGGAGTGTTAGTCAACAATGTTAGTATGACTTCAGTAGAATTTCATGTTGGAGGAACCGGTGTACTGTATTTGCATGTTAAATGTAATTAAAATGTACAGAACAAATTAATGACCTCGAGGTATTGGCATGAAAGCTGTAACAAAATGTACAAAGAACATTGAGTACATATTTATTTTGAGATTGAACATAACTTATACAGTAAGAAAACACGCCCTTTGATATACAGTGGTACCCCGGAGATTAGGCCTCGGCAAGGTAAGGTAAAAGGTAAAAACAAAAAGCCTACCTTTACCCTACCTTTTACTTACCACAATACAATCACTCTACCCTACCTTTTACCCTTTAGCAGGTAAGGTAAAAGGTAAAAAGCAACGAGCCTACCTTTACCCTACCTTTTACCCTTACCCCATACAAATTACCCGATTACAGGGTAATTACTGGGGTAATTTTTTTCGATTTAAAGCACATGAAAAAGGTTTATAATTATAATGGTAAATGCTAGGTAGAGCACTTTATTCGTATAGAATACTCTCGAATCGGGTGTTGAGACTGTCGGCGACACCGTCCTCCATAACCTCCTCGTCCCAGTCGTCTTGGTCGATGACGATCTCATCATCAACCTGATCAAGTTTGTCATTGCCGTCGTCCTCGGACGAACGACGGGCAATAAGATCCTGCGCCGCTCCGGCCCAGTTAGACGGAACATTCAGGCAGCAGGCCGCGATCCACGAGCGCAAGCGCATGGACTGGATGAAGAGCGTCGACGACAGCGACTGGCGAACGTGCGTGAACTCCCGCCCGGCTCCGCTATTCGTAGCGTTCGCGGGGAGTTGACGTCGCCGGCGCTCCCAAGTAGTCGCAGGCCATCTTGTAGTGGGCGGGGAGCAGCTCTTTGCGGGGAGACCACCACTGCAATTACGTCAATGAAGGCGCTGGCGGTCGTGACGCCCCTGCTCAGAAACTGATCGACTTCATCGTCGTCGTCGACGGAGCTGCCGACGTTGCTGAACAGGGCGCTGAACAGCGACCCCTCCTCCATGTGGGCAGCGACTGCCGTCGGCGGGATCGCGAGCACGTCCGAGTAGCGATGCTGCAGGACGGAGCGGACCGTGGCCTTCAGTGTAGCCAGCTCGTCTTGGTCTGTCGTTGTCGGCAGCTGTGGATTCAAGTAGGACGCCACAATGGCAGGTTCCTGAACCCCAGGAAGTCACGGTACCGCACCAGCTCGGCCTTCATCCCCCGTCGCGGTCAAGGACTCATCGATCGCTCTAAGAGCGACTTCACCGTGATCGCAATGACGGATCAGGTGCTCCATCGTCACCGGCACGAGATCCAATGTCGACTTGCGGTCCGCCGTCAACGAGGTCATGACCTGGCACGGCATTCGCATGAACGCTGTCACGCCCTCGATGTTTGCCCACTGCACGTCAGAGAAAGCACCGACGCCGATCACATCCTGTAAGCGCGCCATGATAATGTTCAATGGGACACGCTTTTTGATGGCGTCGTCGCCCATGTCCAACGTCGAATTCCACCTGGTCGGCGAGTCCTGGTGCGTTGGCTCCTCGCTGGCGAGCTTGGTGAGCTTGGCGATCTCGGCCTCGCGGCGGTGCGACTGCTGGACGACCTTGCTGCGCCTGATATTGACGAGCGCCTCGCGCAGTTCGGCGTTGGTCGACTTGATCAGTTTGAGAAATTGGACGACGCCGATCTGGACGGAATGATCCGCGCAGCGAATATGGTGGCAAGCCCGCAACTGCTCATATCCGGCGTCCGCGTTGACCAGGGCGAACAACGTCTTGACAGCACTGATCGCATCGGAGCCATTATCGCTGATGACAGTGAGCAGCTTGCTTGAGACATTGCGCCCGAGGCTTTGGAGGTGCTCAAACAGAGTTGTGCCAATGCACTTGCCGACACCCCTTCCGGACTGCACATCGAGGATCGTCAGCAGCATGGATTTCGACGCACCAGATTTGATGTTTATCCAGTGCACCGTGACCATCCAAAATCCCTTCAGGTTGCAGTTCGACCAACCGTCGATGGTGAGCGAGATGGTGACGTCCAGGTTGGAGAAGAACGCCCCGACGATGGGCAGGCAGCATGATGGCGTGATGCTCGGCAATCCTGCGAATAATGGTGCGGGTTGACGGGCCCTCGTATCCCTGCGTCAATGTGTGGACCAAGGTCTTGAACTTGTCGCTGCCGGCGGCTTGCAAAGAGATTGCACCTTGAATACCAAAATCAACCACCGCGTTCTCAAATTTTACCAGGAGGCGATCCGGGATTGCTGGCCGGCTCAGCGTTTGCTGTATTAGGTGGCTTGCCAACGCCGACTTCCCGACCTCGCTGCCTGGGGCGAGTACATTGTGCTTCTTGAGGTGGGCTTTCCACCCCGACGCGTTCGTGTGGGAGGAAAACCACTCGTGGCAGTGCACGCACTGCCACTCTCCTTGCTGCACACGGGGATCACCCTCCACCCAATCGTGCGTGTGCTCCCACGGGAACGCATGCCGCTGCCCCTTTCGATTGCTGTTCGCAGCGACCCCAAAAACGTCATTGCTACCATCCTCGACCTCATCCTCTACCTCAAGAACGTGGTCTGTCTCCATCTGGTCCGACATCAATGATCGCAATTTAAAATGGAGGCCACGGGCACGGACTGCGCCACGGAGCTTTTAGCGGTAAACAAGGTACTGTATTTACCGGGTAATATTTCGCGCTACCTTTACCCTACCGGGTAATTCTTCCGAGCTACCTTTACCCTACCCTTTACCTTACCCCTTGGCATGTCGACACCTTTACTCTTTTACCCGGTAAAAAAGGTAAATGACCTTACCTTGCCGAGGCCTACCGGAGATCGAACTTAATTCGTTCCAGAAGGCCATTCGAACACTGATTTCTTCGAACACCTAATTAATTTTCCCCATAAGAATTAATGTAAATTACATTGATTCCAGACACAAGAAATCTCTCATTATAAAGCATTTTTACACGAAGTTTACAGTAATTACATGCATAAAATCATTTTAAAAAACAATAAACACAATAAAGAAATGGAATAAATTAATAAATAAATGCGATAAATGCACATTGAACTTCACTTTACCTGTAGTAAGAAGAGTTGATGGCTTGAGTGGAAGGTGTTGAGGAGGTGGTGGTGGTGTTATTGTTTGGATGGGGAGTCTCCTTTGTCTGGGCAAGCGTCATGCACGCTGCTGGCCATGCGTGTCTCAGCCGTACAGGTTCTTTCAAGTCGCGATTGCCCGTTCGACCTCCGAATTTCGTTAGGTTTCCGGGGCAAAAAATGCTCGGAAATATCGTTCGAACACCGATTTGTTCGAGTTCTGGTGCGTTCGATCTCCGAGGTTCTACTGTATAGTACTGCCTATGCACTGTTGGATTAAGGCCTTCCCATGCCGTTTCGCTCGTAGGAATTATTTCGCCATACTTCACTGCTCTGGCAGCGCGGGTTGGTGAAGGGGTCACCAGGAGTTGGAAAGCTATCACTCGCTATTGATGTTAGCCGTGGCCATCGCGCAGTGTACCAAGCAAGCCCTGCATTAGTAGTACTCCAACCCGTTTGAATATACAGTATAACCTAATCAGTCCATTCATATGTAACGCATTTAAATCATATGTCAGTATGTGGCCAAGTACATTCACCATGGGAAATGGAGCAACAAACTCGGCTCATGTGAAGGGTGCTACGTGAATTGATACATCGCACGAACTGAGGGGATGGCAATTGATTCGGGGAGGCCTTCATCCATGAATTAACGATTGCTCCACATTTTTGACATCTTTACTCTCCGCAGGAACTGCACGCCCACATCAATGGCTCCATCAGCGAGGCGACGATGGAGAAGCTCATGCACAAAAAGCCGCATCTGAACGTCCAGCACAGCATGACGATGATCAAAAAGGGGCAGCAGAGGAGCTTGGAGGAGTAAGATGGCTGCATTCATCCTTACACGTCCGTGCCGTAGATATTGGTATCGTTTGTCGGTAAAGGTGCTGCCACTGTGCAATTGCACACTCGACTTGCACTCCAGAGGTATTCGCTATTCGATTCGATCTCCCAGCGTGGCTGTTCCTGCGGTCTGCGTCCACCCAGCAGTATAAACGGGTGCACTACAGTCGACCGGCAGGTCACACGTGTGGTGGGGTAAAGTGAAGCCAATGGCTCTCGGCTTTATCAGATAAAATGTAAATAGATTAGTTTTATTTGTAGATGATTTTTTTTAATTGATTTGTTTGCCTTGCCTATATACTTTGCACTCCTATCGTGTTTTTGGATCGTTTGTTGCTGTAACCTTCTGACCTGCCCCTCCTGGACATCTGTGAAAATAGAGCTTTGTAGCTCTACGGATTCCTCCAGTATAAATAAATCATTCTCTACTCCCGTATCTTCCAAGACGTCTGGCCAGCGTAGAAGGGTAGGCCAACTACCATCCAGAGGGGTCTCTCTTAAGCTCCCCCCCCAGTAAACATGGAACGTCGGGCCATGTTTACTGGACCCCCAAATTTGAGGGCCTTCTGCCAGCAGTAAGAGTTAACATTGGCTGCACACGCAGCCATTGGCCACCAGTTGCCAATCACTCTCCAGGGCCCTGACCTGTAGGAATGAAAGCCAACATGCTTTTGAAGCCATTCCAATATGTCACGCGTATTTTGTGGGTTGGAATTTTTTAATGAAATGGTATGGACCTTAAACTTTTGAGGCGGGGGGGAGGGGAGCACAAATGTTGATCAACTATTGGTGGTCGTGTGGTTGATCGACTCGGATGCTATGGATATGATCGCCATGCCATTGGTAATCGTGCAAACTGTAACAGGGAAGTGATTTGTGCCGTATTTCTTTCAGATGCTTTGAGATGTTCAAGGTGATACATCAGCTGACGGACTGTGAGGAAAGCATCGTCATGGTAACCCACATTTAATTATTCGCGACTCATCAAATTGCTGACCAGGCGTGTAACGATTTATCGATTCTCTAAGATCGATTCTTAACCCTGAAGACACATGCGTCGAATGAATACGTGAATTGTACTGTATTGCTTGTTTGAATTGAACGGGGGCCCATTTAGTAGATGGAGTGCTCTTGTCAATAACATCTGGTAATCCAGCAGCGTTTGTTCAAGTAACCTGTGGGTGGTACTCTTCCAAGACGTCTGGCCAGCAAGGAAGAATAGGCCAAATAGAGGGATGCTCTTGAGCTTTCTCCAATGGAGGCCTTTCTGCACGCAGTGATGTGAGCAAGAAGTTGCAGGGCTGCACCTTTACCACCTTTATATCCCAACTTGTGCTATAAAACACATCACGAGACACCATGTCTCAATCCGTTTTACCTGCTGCGGCTTCCTCTGGTGGCCGGGTGTGTGTCCGTTAAGTCGTACCCACGGTGGATGTGTAAACCAATACCACGCACCGTGCCAGCCTGTGCTCATTGATAATGTCGATTCCTTTGCAGGTCACGAAAGATGTCATCAGGGAATTTCACCAAGACGGCGTGAAATATCTTGAGCTACGAAGCACTCCCAGGGAAGAGAAAAGCACCGGTAAAACGAGCGTATCCAATTGTGTGGATTGGAGCCAATACAAAAATATATATTAATAACTTCAGTGCCATTGTTTGAATAAAAGTAAACTCGACCTGTTCCTATATCATTAACAAATTAGGGCCAATTCGCATTGGAGTAAAGAGGAATGTAAGAATAAATGGAATTTTCGTAGGTCAGCCCTCTGTCCTCATAAAGAGTTTGTGACCGCATTAAAACATGCTTCAAAAAACATTGGTTCTCATGGCTCACAGGCTGATGGACTTAAGTGTCCACTACATACCCGGTTAAGCAAAGCCTTGTTATTGCCCAAGGCTCTTATCTGTATGTTTCAGATGTTGATACTAGTTGCACATTGAGCACATTTTAGAAGGGTGTTTGTCAAGGACGTTAGTGTGCGGCCACATCGGGGGAAAAAAAACAGATGACCTCTTGTGCACAGTCATGCAGGAGCGGTGGCACAGTGGTGGGCACTGCTCCTTGAACCCACCGACCTGGGTTCAATTCCCAGCCTTGACTAACATCTGTGGTGGGCGGTATCTGAACCTGTCGCGGGAACCCTCCCCCACCACCTCCTCACCTTAACTAACGACACGAAGTATGGTCGAGTAACCACAAGTCCAACCCGGTGTGGTGAGACCTTCATCCAGCAGCGTTTTGATCTTGAATAACGATGATTTTTTTAAATACCCCCCCCCCCCAAAAGAAATTGGTCAAATGCTAGGACTGAGAATCTTTCTGAAAAAGACTCAGAGATGCAGTGGAACTTTTCTGAATACAAATGTTTTTTGTTAATCCGTGGCAATGACTTTCTGCTTGACGTGGCCAGGATTGACGCGCAGGTCCTACGTTGATGCCGTTCTCTCCGCCATACGGCAATCCAAGGAGGAGCTACCGGGCATCGACGTGAGGTCAGAGTCACAGCCCCCTACGCCCACACCAGAGGCACGGGTCAATGCAGACATTTCCGTCAAAACTAAAATACAAACGCATCCCGATTGCCGGCGATGCCGTTAGGTTCTTGCTGGCCATCGATCGGCGGAACGGACCCGCGGTCGCCATGGAGACGGTGAAGCTGGCGGAGGAGCACCTGCTAAGCTCGGGTGCCCTCGTGCTGGGCCTTGACATGAGCGGAGACCCCTCGGTGCGTCCATAAACAACGCCTGCCTGCTTTCTTCGTCGCCTGATCGCGGCCCCCACACACACACACCACTAGCACCTCTGATGAGCACGGTTAGCCACGTACGGTGCGAAAGAAGTTCAACATGCATACGTAGCAACAGCAGTGGTAATTCGTCAAGTTACCGGAAGAATATAACCCTCTTAGAGCAGGATGCTTCAGGAGGCTGTTATGTGTACAGTGCTGGAGGGGGGGGGGCGGGGGTGTGCTTGTTGGAACACGATGATAAGATATTGAGCAATCAAAGCTGATGACACCGTGATATAATTCGTAGTATTGCAGGGTCAAAATGTGCAAATTCGAAAATTATCCGCACATTGCTCAACTGACATTACACATCGTCCCTGACTGGCTGACAATATGCCTGCTTGCGGGCCAAATGCCGAGTCACTTTGCGCCCCACGGATAGCTGCCACTAGGGGGTGCCCTTTCAAATGTGATCACATGCGATGTACAGGTTTCTGAAATGCCCCAGCAAAAATCGGGTGCTATAGAGGGTGTCTCATATAAGTCAGGAATCATCGTAAAAAATTGTTTTTTTAAAGGCAATAACACTTTTATTCACAGAACATGCTCAATATGTTCACCATTGTTCCTGATACACAACCCCCGACGAGATACGCAGTCAGCAAGCACTCGGTAAATGGTCCAAGGGTAATGGTGTTTACACGCGTCAATAATGCGCTGCGACAAATGTTCAACACTGAATTTTCTCCGTGTTGAACAGCGCCTTCAAGTGACCCCAGAGATAAAAATCCAGTGGTGTAAGATTCTCGCTGGCCATTCTACTGGCCCTCTACTTCCTATCAAATGACCAGGGATTTGTCGTTGCAGGAACTCTTAAATGGCCTGCATCAACAAAGAATATTAATTAGTAATTTTTCCATATGATTCCAGACTTATGGGACACCCTGTTAAAAATAAATCATTGTATGTATGTTGAACTTCTTTTGCACCGTACGTAGCCAACTGTGCTAATCAGAGGTGCGGGGGAAGGACAAACTAAACACAAAAATCAGTTCTGAGATCGTGGACCTTTCGTTGTTCCGAAACCATTCATTGATCACTATCTGCCACATTGAGGAGCTATACTGCATGGGAGTTGCAGTATAAGTAATGATGTTGATTTCACATTTGTTTAGGTTGGACATGGAAGAGACTTTCTTCCCGTCCTGGAATATGCGAAGAAAGCCGGGCTTAAACTGGCATTGCATTTATCAGAGGTGAATTTCAAAGTTGTCTACACATAATAATAATTAGTACAGTAAGAGGTTTTATGGATGATATTGGTCGTGAAAGCCTACGTGTTAAACTGAATATACATTAGTTCCACATGAAACGTACAAAGTCTATACAGAACAAAGACTGCATAACGAAAATAGAACACAAACGTATAATGTTGAAGTCTAATTCAAATAAACGGTATAAAAGTGGAATAACATGCCGTGAGGATCTTCTTTGGTTCTTTCGGTAAAGTCACGTAGAATGAGAATAAAATAATAAAATAACACAATGCCGTGAGGAGTTATCAAATTATTAGAATGAGGTGGACAGGAAGAAGAATGTTGATAGATGCCAGCAACAAAACTTAGACCGGTTCAACATGCCACTTAAAAAAAAAATGTTTATCAAGCATTACCTTTAGACATGGTAACCGTCACAATATTCTTGGTTCTTTCGGTAAAGTAACGTAGGTAGAAATAAAATAAAAATAGAAAATAAATTAAAAAATAAAAGCAAAAAACACACGACGTTTAGATCGCAACACAAGTCTTGCGATCGCTTGCGACCGAAACGTCGTTTTTTTTTAATTAAATTTTAATAATAATAAAAAATATTTTTAATTTTATTAAATTTTTCTTTTCTATCTACGTGACTTTACTGAAAGAACCAAGAATATGAATTCCTGCAGTCACGAAAGTTTTGAGTCAAAACTGTCACAATCTTCGTGGGTGGCTGTGGCCAGATCCCAAGCCAGACAGAGGAGACGAGGATTCTCATGGACCTGCCCCCCGATCGGATCGGACATGGCACTTTTCTGCACCCAGACGTCGGCGGATCGCAAGAGATCGTCGACCTCATTATCCACCATCAAACCCCCATCGGTAAACTTGGGAGGGCAGCGCAGACATGAATTCTTAAAATCTGTGCGCGGCTTTTGAGTGTTACCATATCGCACGCAAGGCGATTGTTCTCATGGTCGTCCAAGTTTCCGCCAACTTGCAACGGCGTCCATTCATGGAATTGCCCAAACATCCTGAAGCAGCAGCACCTGCCTGGAAGTGTCACGAGACTCAGTGAGGCTCTCCTACCTTAAGGGAATTAATGATCCTCTAAACCCCCATACTTGGTGGAAACTGCACTTAAAAGCAATCTGCATTGTCAAATGCGGCATTGCCTTACATTTTAGACATGGCTGATTTAAATTGTATTGTGCAACTTTTTAGTTGACGTGTGATATTAGTAGGCTACCAAGAAATTGCATGAAAACTGCCCCAAATTAACCCAAAATGTACTGGGAGCTGTTTACATAAGCCCTCTGGCATGCAAAACAGAAATTTAAACCTCGTACTACTGGAGCGGACTAAGCAGCACAAGATTTAAACGTATTTAATACATTGTGCCATTTTATCCCATTTCTCCATTCCATCAGAATTGTGTCTGACTTCCAACGTGAAGGGCAAGACCGTAGCGACGTACGATCAGCACCATTTCAGATTTTGGTACGGAAGGGGACACCCTTGCATTATTTGCGTAAGTACTTGCTGTAACGCACTCAACGTGGCGAGTCGAACAGACTTTTAAAAAAATGTAATCACGGCCACTTATCAGCGCGTCCCACCTACACAACATTCTTTAAATGCCCTGAACTAAAATCTCAAACTTCTTCCTCCAGACCGATGACAAGGGAGTTTTTGCCACCGACCTCTCCCAGGAATATCACATTGCAGCAGACACATTCAACCTCTCCAAAGAGGACCTGTGGAATATCTCTTACCGCAGCATCGATTGCATATTTTTGCCAGAAGGCGAGAAACGTCAACTTCGTGGTGAATGGGACAAGCTAAAGGGATCCCTGCTAAACTCCAACAAGTGAAGCAAAGTCTGATGAGGAGTGGGCGGGTGCAAACTGCACATTGAATCACATCAAAACGTTTATAGTTTAGTATAATTGTGTTGAAATTATTTTGAACATTTGAAAAAACATCCAATATATTTACTCGTGTTTATCGTTGAATCATGTGAATGACGTGAACTACTCATTGGATGTCGTGTTAAATAATATTATATTTATCTGTAAGTATATTTTTGTGGTTTTGTTAACCCCTGCATGGAGGTCTGTTGGACCTTATATATTCTGCGAGATAAGTCTCACTGTGCTGCCTATTTACAAACCTTAGATGCGAGATTCAATTGCAGTGCATAGAGCTACTGTACCACTGTATTTTAATGACATTTCATATCATGTGTGTCTGTTAACGCATTTTAAAATACGAGTAAACATTTCACCTTTACTTTTCACCTTATGAATGTTTACATAAATGTTATCGCATTCATTTCTACGTAAAAAAAACACGGGAAAAACTCCAGTCTTCTCGTCAATTTAATGTGATAGTGCGATAGCAAACACCATAATGTTACACTTTTACACTTACAAAATAAACAGGCATGTAACTATTCAGCTTGCTTTACAATTGAATAAATCGTCAATTCAGGGTAAAGGTCCAGTTCAAGAATAATTGTATTTACCATTGTTGCGAACGGGGCCACGGGGTTTACATGAACCAATTCCATACAACGTAAGGGTGTGCAACCTTTTTTGATGCTGGTCCAATCAATGGGAAACATCGAGCTCCCACGGACATAAACGTTCACGAAGGTGACATCATGGCAGCCCATTCGTGTTCAATCAACTACTACTGCTGGCACCACACCACAGGCTGTTTCTGATTCATGGATGGCCCTTCGGTTGCACACCCCGAATGTATCTATGTATGGCTTAATTTCCCGGTCAATATTCGCTAGGTCACTTGTACACTGAAGTAAGTGGCATGTGACGAGTAGCCACGGCCAAAGTGAGAGTTATACCGGATGCGGTGTGGCGGCTGTGGAAATATTTTCCAGGGTCACCAACCCAAACAGGCCTGGCAGAAATAAAATCCCAATCAGTTACATGCCTACTAAATAAACGCAGGCAAGTGCCCATCTTTTGCCCGCCACACTTGATATGGCGTTTCCTCCATCAACCGCTCGTCGTTGGGCCTTCCCCAGCGCCACCAGGCATGGCGGCGGCGGTGCTTGTGGCTGCCTCCGCCACCCCCCCCATGAGCACGGGATTGAGTGGCTGGTTGAGCAGCAGGCGCACGAGCATCGTAACCACCTCATCGTTGAACCCGTGCACCTGGGAGCCCTCGACAGCGTCGTAGAGGCGCATGCTCGGCGTGCCCCAGCACACGTTGCGCCGTGCGTTTCCCCCATCGGTGTGAGTGTCCAGCGCCAGCGTGTTGAGTTGGTAGCAGAAGAAGGAGAAGTGGATGCCGTCGGTGATGACGGCTTGCGAGACGAAGGGCCGCGTCAAGTCCTCGTCCGCCCAGAAACCTGCGATTACGAAAACGGCACAATGAGTTACCACATTCGAATCGCATCATGGAAAACTGATGGCGGCTGTTTTTGATTCAACAGTGTGGGGGGTCACCGCTCGGTCGTTCCGTTACCTTGGTACATCGCCTGAGCTCCTGTCCAGGCAAAGAGGCTGGCGATGGCGTGAGCCCTCAGCCGCACCTCCACCTGGTCAGCGATGCCCTTTTCAGCCAGTTTCTTAGGATTCAGCTTGTCAGCCGTGACGTGAAACTGAGTGTGGCCGTAACGGTATGGGTCGTTTATTTTTGCTCCTGGTGTGGGAGGGGGGGGTGTGTAAGGGAGAGTGCAAAAAAGAGCGAGCTGCAGCTGTTAAACGACTATGTGAAGGATAAGCTGTTTAATCCGAAGCAGACGAGGCTTTTTATGTTTAGTGCCACCTGTAAATACCTGTGAATATTTTGTTCTCGTACTGCCTCCTGAAAAGAGGAAGGTGGCATGGATCGTTGGTGTAGCTGGGGACTTCACCATCTATTGAGAGGTCTGAATCAATAGGAATGAACTGCAACCGACAACAACAAAAATAAAACAATGGTAAATATTTCTCATTAGAAAATCTTCAGATGCAAAAAAGGGGAATATTATCTGGGATATGTCATTTGTAAACAGCGTCATGTGTGTAAATACTGTACTGGCAGATAATGGTTTGTCTTAGTTACCAGAGTATATACATCTACACAACCTTACAGAATTTAACATGGAAAATAGAATTCCTATTAAAACAGGGCTCCACGTTTGAAGTTTAAACACACCTTTACCACCATTCTGTAATGAACTCGCTATAAATATGGACATACTGCACAGAAACCTTCAATGTAACGCACGAGGTGACTTCTCAGCATGAACCATACTGGGGGTCAAAATGGTTTGGACCAGGAGTAAAAATTGGCGTCAAATTTGAAGTTGGAATGTTTAAGAGGTGAGCTGGCACATACCTGTCAACCCCTTATCAATGCCTACCTTATGATAGACCAATTCAGACCGTATTGGTCACCCTGTGCCCTTCTAAATCTCAACGTTCATCCTACAAAGTCCCATCACACTGATCAGCATGGTGATCCTACAAAGTCAAATAACCCTCTCTCTGTATGGCCAGGCAACATCCTCATCTCGCAGTGGATTGACAAAGGGCTGTAAATGTACATACACGTATACAAGAGCAATTATGGTCATCACCCCCAGGACTTTGAAAATATGCTTCTCCCAGAAATAATACATAAATGGAGCTTTGATTGAAAGTCAGCAACGAGCCAAACGTCTGTGGGCCTATTAAACCAGAGATGATTCTGGTATCAAGACTGCATACATCTGAATTATGAAATCAATAACTGCATACCTCGGGCAGCTGCTGCTGCATGCGTATCTGGTTGATGGGCTTGTCTTCAATCTGGAAACGTATGGGCTCAATCTTGCCGCTCCGGTGGCCCCGTGGCACCTTCCTCTCGCCCCGCCACCAGTAAAACCCCACGTCCGGCTTCACGTCTGCAGCAACCAAAGCAAAAGTGCATGCAGAATATTACATTTCAGTGTGTGTGTGTAAAAAAACCAACGGCATATTTGCAAACCTAAACAATTGGCTTAGAGCAACCCATCGCTCGTTTGGTTGTGCTGCGGTGACTGGTCTCCATAATGGGAATCTGGAATTTCCACAGATGAGAGCCACCCAATGGCTCGTTTGAGCACACTTTGTGACAACTGTTTGACTGGCGTGGTGGTGCATGCCCCTAAATCAGTGGAGAGAAGGGTCGGTGGAGCAGGAAGATGTGGGGCATTCCCAAACCTGCTGGGTTGACAGCCGAGTTGAGATGTGCAGTCCCATGAATTTCGTTTTTAATCCAAGTGTGCGGCTCTTTGTATGCATGCGTTTCCTCCAGGTACTTCGATATCAGTCGACACGCAAAACACTCAACGGAATTGACCAAACAACCCGATTGCAGGATCCTCCTAAAAAAGTCTCAAGATTCATTGAGACCTTCCTGGACGAATTTAATTTACCGTATGGTTAAAATCACGTCTACTGCTCAACAGGCCCCACGATGTCCAAGTCGAGATAGCTCTTTGGCTTTATCAAGAATCCCAGCAGCATCTTTTAAACGGACTCTCTTATTGTTTACAGTCAGAAAGCAAGTGTGGAGTTTGCCTGCTAAATCAATTACTGGTACCACTGGTACTGAAAAAGATATAAACATTGGATCCTATCGAAACTTCGGCTGACACATTCGTCCAAAATGATACTTATGCGTTTACATAGTGCACCACAACAATGTCTGTTTACTTATCTTATTGTATCCCCTACGCGTATGTCAAGCCACATCCGGGAGTGTACAATTTGAAAGGCACGTTCTTCGGTGCTTAATTTCATTCCGCATCCATCTCACCTCACGTCGTCCGCGTGATACTGTGGCAGTGTCAGTAAGGTTACTGTATGGGAAGATTGTATAGGTTCTAACAAAAACCGTGTTTTCAACGTGAAACATATCTCTACATGAGGCGACAATTCGGGCAAAATTACTCTTTTTCGTTGAACATAGTTGACGTTTCGGACAATGGCCCATTTTAGGGCATACAATGTGCTATAAAGGGGGCATTGCTCGAACCGTCAGTCCTGCTTTACATGTAATACCCCTCCACCCTAAACCAACTCTCGACTCGGTGTTCTTCATTGCAAGGCCTCGCGGCCCACTGGCGGCCCCTGCTGCCCCTTAGTGCGGCCTCCTCCCGACAATACACAAATGGTGAACACCACCACCCCATCCAAAACACCACCATCATCACGCCGACGATGTCCTCGCCGCTGCTGTAAACGCACCGATGCAGGCCTCTCTCAGAGCCGAGTTGCTCCCGGCGAGCAAGGCGGTCAGCCTGGACACCAGGTTCACCACGAACGCCTCCACCACGTGCCGCCGCTCGCGGTAGAGCGGCCCCCGCTGCCGGCGCACGAAGGCGAACTCCTGGAGCAGGGCGTCCCTCGTCAGGGCGCCGGCCCGGTCCAGCGGCGGCGGCGACGAGGCGGGAGCCGCGAGGCGCTCGGGAAGGCGCTGCGCGAAGGCGGTCTTGGTGAAGTGCTGGTAGGGGCGGTCGGCGTTGAGCGAGAAGGTGAGCGGACTCACGACGTACTTGAGGCGCTGCACGCTGCTCAGCATGCGGATCTTCTCGGCGGCGCTCGGCGCGTCCCTCACCCTGGCCCGCGCCTCCTGACGCCTCCGCGCCGCGGCCGCTTTGCTCATGGCCGTGAGCGAGGGCAGCACGGGCGGGTAGCGGGGCGCCGCGGCGGACGTCTCGGCCTCCCCCTTCGCCGCCGTCGCTGCTTGCGGCTGCGTTGAGAAGTGGACATGGTGCTGGTGGAGCCGGAGGAACAGAGGCGGCGGCGGCGGCAGCAGCAGCCGCCGTGTTCCTCCACCTGCTGCTGCTGCTACCGCGTTCCCCAACACGTGGGAGCGGCGTAGCCCCATGCGCGCCGCCATGACCCTCGCCGTCGCCAAGGGCGGCCCGGGCTATGCGGACGCAGCGCCCCCGTTGGGCGGATGTAGATTCGCGTTTGTTGGCAACGTGACAGAACCCGCACCGCGGTGCCAAGTTCGCTCAGGATGACAACGCCACCCCCCATCGTGTTCCTGAATGCATTCGTAAGCGAGCCCCCACTCCACCCCCCACCCCATAACCATCTTCTTGAGGTTCTTCACATTGAGAAGAGGGAGCCAGTGTCGAGATTTGACGGGTGTGTGTTTCAGTTGCATGATGCGCGCACACACAAGTTCACTTGGAAAAATAAGAATAGGTTTGAGCACTTTGTGGCAATAAAACAGTTGTGTTAAGATGTCCAAACGCCAAAGAAATACATTTTATCAAGGAATCGAGTCTGCAATAGCCACACTTGCTTGCGGTGAACATGCAAACAAACATGATCTAATAATACATGCATTGTCATTATTAATCATTCTCTGATACTGGCAAAGAGGTCCCATGTTGTAGCTGCTCACCCCGAACTATAAATGCTCTGATAGTGGCATTGTCCTTGTCCTGTTCGCCTTTTGGCGTTGTTCTCTGGTCTGACACTGCTGGTGAGACGAGGTCGTGGCGAAGGCCGCTGTCTCTGGTGTAGAACAATCACTTGCAAAGACAATGCCTATTTAAATTAATTATAATCAGGGCATGTTTGTTTGCACGTTCACCACACGTACTCGTGGTTACTGCAGACTCGATTCCTTGGTGTTTGAACATCTTAACGCAACTGTTCTATTGCCAGAAATATTACAAAACCTATTCCTATTTTGCACTCTCTGATACTGGCAAAATGTCCCACAATACAAATTCACTTGCTGTGAAAATAATCCACGTGCAAAGCGTGTCATTCGGAGGGCTATTGTTTTTAATAAGCCATGGTCCTCCCGCGCCAATGAAGAATGCCACGTTGTCTATTGAGACTGAGAATGGGTCTCTATCCTGTCCTCTTTATTTATCTCAAAAACTTGAGACTTGGTGATGTGGGTGGGTGGGGAGGGAACTTGAACGCGCGGCAGCGAACGCGCGGATAGGTAAACGCGCGCGCGTGATGCCACGTGCCGCCACTGGGATCAGCTGATCGTGGTTCCGGGTGCAGCTCAGCGCGTTGCAGCCTCGGAAAGGGGAGACCTCTCCCCAACCACCTTCCCTAGCTCCCTCCTGCGCGCGCGTGTGTGTGTTTTTTCCTGTCTACCTCTTAACGCCTTACATATCTCGGACAGTCCTCCACGAGACATGGCGACGGAGCCTCCTAAAATCCTGGAAATAGACGTCAATGCAAACGAAAGGTGAGTTTGTTGGTTGTTAAATGACGCGAGAGTTGTGTTTGAAAGAACAGGTCGCACGAGATCGAGGTGGTGCGATTGAAGTTACCTACTCAACGACGGCGCTCTTTGCAAAATACAAAATGAGTCCTGTATCTTAGCCGATTTGATTCATGCGCGTCCTGTCATTTATTTGATTGAATATTTTGTATCCCTCAGCCAAAAGTTAGCTTGCTCCTCCAAGGTGTGTAAATTCACAACTGTTGGAAGTCAGTTCATAGTTCATTTATTTGGTATAACCCTGTGAGCAATTCGGCTCTTGAATCGGGTGCAACCGCAACAAACAAAAAACATGAACAAGAAAACGTATTAAAGTGATTATGTGACTGTGCAAACAGAAAATACAGGAAAAAAATATCAAAATATTCCTGAAATAGCACCGTACACCAACGCTGTGCGCAAAAATCCCAGTGGGATGCAAGTCAAAATAACAACAACCACAAGACAACTAAGATTAAGGCCATCAGTCAACTCCGTACTACAATAAACTAAAACAGTCGCCGTTGATATATGCAATAAATGGTATATACACTTATTAGATACATTTTTACGAAAAATTTACTTCCGCCCTTTCGAAAATCTTGCTTTTAATGTGGCACACGAGAACGGAGCATTCAACGTGACCGAAGCTGGCTGCGTTGCCGTGCAATGCTGCTGATGTGCCAACGTTAAAAGAAAACGCCGTGCCTGACTTTGTTTTGCAAGGTGTGTGTGTTATCCCCAGGGTCAATTGAAGCGCGCTTTGTTGAACATTGTCTACCCCTAAATGCCTCTCGCAGATTCTCGCGCATCAAGGCGGCCTTTCTCTGCAAGTTTGGCCGGGCTCCCGAGTTTTATGCCCGAGCGCCAGGTCGCGTCAACCTCATCGGTGATTTATGCGCACACACACACAGTCTCACGCGCTGTTGTCGGAGTTCCAAGCCACTTTGCACATTTAATCCATCGACAAATGGGCGTCAAGAATGGTGGTGATCTGATATACACTACTGTTGTCTTTACAGACTCAGTGGCGTTCAGAGGAGCACGCTAATATGTACACACGTGTCCCTTTCTCATATGCTAAACTAGCTGTACTACCCGGCTCCGCCCGAGACTTGGATTCACCAGGCCCGCCGCCTTTGTCTCCCCAGTGGCGATGTTCACACAGCAGAGCAGTTACTCGTTTGATGCTGAGTCGATCTAGGGGAGGACCGGTAAAAATAATCGTCACCGGTGGTGGCCGTGAGCGGTAATCGAACTCTGGTCGCCGGGTTTGTAGCACGGTGCGCTAACCACTACACTACAATGCGTTACGCTTTCACATGCGCGGGTCACATGACAGATTTGACGTCACAGATCACTTGCCGTGCAAAAAATATAAATGCATTATTGAGCTCCCCCCCCCCCCCCCAAAAAAGTGTATTTTTATAATTTTTGCATGGTCTGTAAAGTACCCACATGGCAAATTTCAAGTTTGTTGCATGTCGGGAAGTGCGCTAAACATTTTGAATAGACACACATTCACAACTGTGCCTTTTATATATATGGAGATTTGTAATGCAATTAGTCATTACTGATATCTGTGAAAACTACTGGACATCTGTGAAAATGAGCTTCATAGCTCATCGGATTCCTCCAGTATAAATAGATATTCTGATTATTAACAAGCAGATTACAGTCCTTTTGTCTATTCACTGCTTGATTGACACCCTCCCCACCCTATGTTGATCATGGAGGCTTATTAGACCATACAGTGCCACGCTGGTCAGTACAGATTGGTGAATGGGAGGTGGGGAGGGGATTGATTTACACCGGTTCAGATGTCATTCACCACTGATGTTAACCGTGGCCAGGAATTGGACTCGGGTGACTAGGTTCATAGCACAGAGCCACTACCGCCGTTCTCCTTTGCACTTGCCAACTTGTTAACCAGATTATGTGTTTGGGAAGTCTGCCTGCCTGCAACTGAGATGTATGCATCACATTTGTTAAAATCTGATAACATTTTCACGTGAGGCCCATATGCTTATGAGCTCAGTCCGTTAAACCTGTTTACGACGCATAAACAAAATATCACATGATGCCAGGTCGTTATGGGGGCAACTTAATAATCCAAGTCAGCTGAACGCAATGAAAGTGCTGTGGGTGCAGCAGTCCATCCAAGCGTCGGTGTCACCTCTGGGTTCAGAGGTCGTCACTGAGTGCAGCACCTCCACTCCGCCACAATCTCTCGTAATGTTCCCCGTGCCCAGCTGGGTTTGCCACCTCAACGCAGTGATGTCATCCCACCAGCAGTGAGAAGGGAAACTGCAGCTAATGGCAATAATTGCACACATGCCTCACTCACGTGGACGGGCAGGAATGTTGACATGCAGGTGTGTTGTCTTGTTGTCCCAAAGGGGAGCACATAGATTACTGTGGCTATGCCGTGCTGCCCATGGCCATTGAGCAAGACATCGTGACAGCGGTGGCTGAAAATACCTCTGGAATTGTCAACCTGGCCAACACAAACTCCGTCTACCCGTAAGCTGCATGACATTGCTTTAGACTCGCGGTGGGGAACCCTTTCTTTACTGTGGGCCAAATCGGACTTTCAAACACCTGTGGCGAGCAACACATGAACACACCGTCTCAGTTAATTGCAGAGGCTCTTGAAGTGACTGAACATATTCTTGGGTATTTCTTCTTGGGTCAGCTTTCCCGCTATTTATTTCTCCTGATGGCGATTGCTTGTGTTGCGATTGAAACGTCGTAGTTTTTCTTCTTTGAACCTATCTACGTGGCTTTACCGAAAGACTCAAGAATATGAATTCCTGCAGTCACGAAAGCTTTAAGTCAAGTTTGACTGAATATGCGAAAATTATCCGAGTCGAACACATGGCCCTCTAGTTCTAGATCAATGCAGCTAAGATGCTTGCTATGATGGATAGATATAATTTCGAAATTGTAGGCCCCAAGTGGCAGTGGCCTATGAATGTTAAGTCGTAAACTGGATACGTTCCCCACCGAAGTTTGTACACGTGGTCACGTGCTAACCCCCGAAATAAATCATGCAGTGCCACCTTGTGTTAAAAAAAAGTTTTTATTGTCTTTTTGTAACCACTAGATGGCGCTGCAGATTAAGAAATGTGAAAACTATGAAAGTGATCTTTTTTGCTTCAGTAAATTTCAGTCGAATAGAATCATTACTTTAACTTTCAAGTAATAATTATCAAGACAAAAAGCCATTTACTTTGTTAAAGGTGATTATAGGAGTCAAAGGAACCCCCTCCTCCTAATGTGTATATATAAATACATCATAGCAGTCCACCAGAGTGGACATGTGCAAAAAGCTGAAGCAGATACCGAAGTGTTGGGTGCAATTAACGTTGATGCGCCTTCTTTCTTGCAGCGATTACAATGTTGCTGTGGATAAAGTTGTGATAGACAAAAGCCAGCCACATTGGTACTACTATTTCCTCTGTGGATTTCTGGGATTGAAGGTACGACGCGCATCGCATTGCTGGTTTAAATAATGCACTGCCCCTTGGCGAATCCACTGCCAGATTAATGCCTCCACGTGACACATGGGTCTTGGTGGTTGTTTTGACCACACTCCACCTCACCAGTCAGTGCTGGTGAACAGGGGAGAGCGTGCAGAAACCAAGTCAGATATCACTCACCAATGATGCTAACCCTGGCTCTCAATTGAGCTCTGACGCAAGCTTCATAGTGCAAGGCGCGCTAACCACTGCTTTCCCCAGTTAGACTATAACACAATATCGGGTTTTAATTCGGCCTGTAAAATGCAGCGATTAAATTATTTTTAAAAAAAGAATTTGTCACGCACACAATACATTTGTACTACTTTCGATTAACAAAAAAAAGATAAAATACTTATGTTGCGTTTCAGCTAAAGGAGGAAAGAAACGTGTACAAATGGGATGGAAAATGATAAACAGCACAAACTATTCCTTAAAACTTGGACAAAAAGGATCTATTCTTGCAGTCAATGCCATCCCAAAATCATCACAATGGTTCATATCACTAGGGTGGTGAATGTGATCGCCAGTGGCCATGTGATAGATATATTGCGCCCCTGCCGTACAAGCGTGGGAATTTCACCACTGACTCAAGTGCTATCAACAGAGCTGAGCATTGTTTCAATGATCACTTAAGGATGGACACTGACCTATTTTAGATTACGTGAATTGTTTTAAGCAATTTAGATTGAGCAAATAACTACAGTGAGGGAAAACAGTATTTGATCCCCTGCTGATTTTGCACCGTTTGCCCACTAACAAAGAAATAATCAGTCTATAATTTTAATAGTAGGTTAATTTGAACAGTGAGAGACAGAATACCAACAAGAAAATCCAGAAAAACGCATGTCAAAAATGTTATAAATTGATTTGCATTTTAATGAGGGAAATAAGTATTTGACCCCCTCTCAATCAGAAAGATTTCTGGCTCCCAGGTGTCTTTTATACAGGTAACGAGCTGAGATTAGGAGCACACTCTTAAAGGGAGTGCTCCTAATCTCAGCTTGTTACCTGTATAAAAGACACCTGTCCACAGAAGCAATCAATCAATCAGATTCCAAACTCTCCATCATGGCCAAGACCAAAGAGCTCTCCAAGGATGTCAGGGACAAGATTGTAGACCTACACAAGGCTGGAATGGGGTACAAGACCATTGCCAAGCAGCTTGGTGAGAAGGTGACAACAGTTGGTGCGATTATTCGCAAATGGAAGAAACACAAAAGAACTGTCAATCTCCCTCGGCCTGGGGCTCCATGCAAGATCTCACCTCGTGGAGTTGCAATGATCATGAGAACGGTGAGGAATCAGCCCAGAACTACACGGGAAGATCTTGTCAATGATCTCAAGGCAGCTGGGACCATAGTCACGATTAAAACAATTGGTAACACACTACGCCGTGAAGGACTGAAATCCTGCAGCGCCCGCAAGGTCCCCCTGCTCAAGAAAGCACATATACATGCCCGTCTGAAGTTTGCCAATGAACATCTGAATGATTCAGTGGACAACTGGGTGAAAGTGTTGTGGTCAGATGAGACCAAAATGGAGCTCTTTGGCATCAACTCAACTCGCCGTGTTTGGAGGAGGAGGAATACTGCCTATGACCCCAAGAACACCATCCCCACCGTCAAACATGGAGGTGGAAACATTATGCTTTGGGGGTGTTTTTCTGCTAAGGGGACAGGACAACTTCACCGCATCAAAGGGACGATAGACGGGGCCATGTACCGTCAAATCTTGGGTGAGAACCTCCTTCCCTCAGCCAGGGCATTGAAAATGGGTCGTGGATGGGTATTCCAGCATGACATTGACCCAAAACACACGGCCAAGGCAACAAAGGAGTGGCTCAAGAAGAAGCACATTAAGGTCCTGGAGTGGCCTAGCCAGTCTCCAGACCTTAATCCCATAGAAAATCTGTGGAGGGAGCTGAAGGTTCGAGTTACCAAACGCCAGCCTCGAAACCTTAATGACTTGGAGAAGATCTGCAAAGAGGAGTGGGACAAAATCCCTCCTGAGATGTGTGCAAACCTGGTGGCCAACTACAAGAAACGTCTGACCTCTGTGATTGCCAAGAAGGGTTTTGCCACCATGTACTAAGTCATGTTTTGCAGAGGGATCAAATACTTATTTCCCTCATTAAAATGCAAATCAATTTATAACATTTTTGACATGCGTTTTTCTGGATTTTGTTGTTGTTATTCTGTCTCTCACTGTTCAAATAAACCTACCATTAAAATTATAGACTGATCATTTCTTTGTCAGTGGGCAAACGTACAAAATCAGCAGGGGATCAAATACTTTTTCCCCTCACTGTATAATTTACACTTTAAACGCACCAAACACTAATAGTAAACAAAAAGCATCGTGGCTGGGCAAGGTACCTGAAAATGTAAGGTTTCACAAACTTGCTCTGCCATTTATTTTGATATTGCTTTGGTGAACAATTTATGAATGTCAACGTGTGCTGCTGGGATTGCTCACAGGAGCACCTGGGTGAGGTGACGTGCCATGGCATGGACTGCCTCGTGGATGGGACCATCCCTCCCAGCTCGGGCCTTTCCAGCTCCAGTGCCATGGTCTGCTGTGCCGGCCTCGCCACGATGCACGCCAACCACAAGAGCATGTCCAAGGTGAGGCTGTGTTCAGGCCAGAGCTGGCTCGGCTGTCTGATTATTAAGTAATTGATTACTCGACCCATAATAAGGTTTTTTTTGGGCTTGATCGCGTAAATATTAATGTCTCGTGAAAGTCACCATCTAACCCAAAAAAATCCGGTTATGGATATTGTTCGCAAAAGCCTTCGTGTTAAACTGATTACTCTACCGATTATTGGTTCGGTTATTTGACTTGTCGAATGAGTACAACGTTTGTTCCTACATGTATTGCTGTGGACGGGATGGGCAGGCCTTGGTGATGTCATTGGCTGCCATCATGCTGGTTGTGGCTTTTTTACTGGGCAGCTCCCATTTATCAAGGGGCCTGAATAATCAACCACAACAAATATTTTATTATAACTTTTAGTCGATTGATGGACTAATTGTCCCAGCTCAAGTTCATTCTGCAATGGCACATGCAGCTGCCTTAATGTGAGCTGGGCAGTTCGTGGCATTACAACTGTCGACCTTATTTGTACACTGGTGAAATGTTTTGATTGAGTGGGCTGACATTTATTCAGTGCCAGCAGCATTCAGTAGGTTGAAGGGAAGAAAAAAAACTCCCAAAAAACTCCACATTTTCCCCTACTTAAGACACTATATTAGTTGTGAAATGAGCCATTATAGCAACAAAAATATACTTAGTCACAATGGTGATTGACATTTTTTTGTACGTTTTTTCCTTCTTTTTAAAAATGTGCCACATGCTTGCAGGCGATTTATCAGTAGGCGCATTGTTGGGCAAATAGTGGTTGAATCAGCCAATTCGTACATCAATTCCATAAAAAGGCACTGTAACTGGAAGAGAACCCAGTATAAAGAGATGAAACGGACTTGCTGTTTGTTCATCGGTTTCACGAGCATATCAATGCTTGGGTCAGGCAGGTCTTCAAAGAAGGAATTTTTTTTTTGCCACATAATCGACCATCAAAGCACCAGCATGTTTTTATCACACAGCCAACACCAGGCAAGGCTTTGCCAGGGCTGACTGACAAGATAATATCGGTGCGCTACCATTGTTCAGGGGGTGGTTTGGCTTGAGAATGAGCGTTGTGTGCCGTTCCCAGTGCGCCCGGCCGCTGGCAGGGAGCGCTCGTTTCCACGTGGGGGCCACCGTCAGGCCAAGGGACCCGACGGGGTCTTCTTGCAGTTGCTTCCCACATTGTTCGGGGGGCGGGGGGGGGGGGCTTTTAGGGGTCAAATTGTACCGCCGCTCGGATCCGACAATTCGTTGTCGTCGTGCGCACGAGTTTTAGACTGTCGCGCTCGTGAAACGTGAGCGGCCGCGGGATGAAATGCGCCCCCCCCCCCCGCTCGTAACTGCGAGATTACTTTTTATCGCCCTCTGGGCTACATGCGGCAACATGGAAAAAGTTTAATTACCAACACGTTGGTGGCTTGTTAGCCTGGCAACCAAATAAATAAACAAAGCAAGCGTCTGCCCAGCCATTGAAATGTCTTCTATTGCCAGTGCTAATGCACAAAGGGGCACAATGGTTTTTTTCCATAAATAACACTGGCTTACACGTGCACGAGGCCATTGAAGACGAATGGAAACGTTGCTGCAAATTTACACAATGCAGTAATTGTTGCATTGTTTGCGGCCCTGCCACCTGTAGTCGTTGCTTAACCTCGCAACATCTGCGTGTCGGCCGTTGTTAAAAAAAGAAACTGTGATTGCAGGTCACGCTGGCCGAGGTGTGCGCGCGCTGCGAGAGGTACATTGGGACGGAGGGTGGAGGCATGGATCAGTCGATCTCATTCTTGGCTGAAGCGGGAAAGGTAAGAGAATGTGGGGGGGGGGCGGGGGGTACTCACCCTCGACCGCCCCCCCCCCCCACTCATTGCAACAATTTAACAATTTGTAGTCACGATGTGGTTAAAAGTGATGTAACTTTTCATCTCCATTCTGTCTTGTTTGTATTTCCCTCATTCTGTTCCAGTACGTTCGCCCGAATATGAGATTAAATTATAATTGTCATGAATTTCACGAAATAAAATCTTACCTGGACAATCCAATCCATGTATCGTGATTAAGAACCTATTTAATCAAACATGCCTAATTGTTGGGGCTTAATTTCAGCCTGGTCTGTTTTGCTGGTGAGCCGGAAAAAATGTCATCATTTGGCATACCACATCCAGTATACCTTTCAGTATAATGCTCACTATGGCTGTACCAGTGAACCAGAACATATTCAATGAGAAATTAAGCCCTACTAAGAGGTTAGGCACAAGTGTGGCCTTGCTACTCCGTCTTATACACTATACATAAATATAACAATATTCCACAAACATATTCTAACACACACACACACTGTGAAGTGTTTTTTCCCGTGACATTAACACGGGGCCACCTTGCTGCTTTTCCGAACATCACTGCAGTATTTAGTCTGCAGCTGAACTCGTTTCAGCCAATAGGAACCTTGCCGAGACGCACACGCAAGGCGGCCAAACACGCCTCGGCCTCTTGCGCCGCTTATCCCGGCCTGCGCCACGGGTGGACGTTACTCCGCAGCGCGGCCCTCGCGAAACGTCCCAAGGTAGAGCGTGCACGCTGCCTCCGCTCGCGAGGGCCGAAACGCCAGCGGCGTCGGGTGAGGAGAGAGTGCCGTCGTGTTCGCCCGACGGTCATTTGCCATTTGCCTCGTCAGGCGAAACTCATCGAGTTCAACCCCCTGCGCGCGAGCGACGTGCGCCTGCCGGGAGGTGCGGCGTTCGTCATCACCAACAGCCTCGCGCAGATGAACAAGGCGGCCTCCTCCCACTTCAACATGCGGGTAGTGGAGTGTCGACTTGCCACGAAGGTACTCGGCCGTTGTTTTTCTTGGAACGCAGATGCACCGTGTCCAACGAGATCATAACACGAGTCGCTTCTCTGAAGCTTTGTTGTGAAATCGAGTTACAAACAATAAAGGGGACGTGAAACGATGTTTTATAGTGGCTCTGCCGGCTGCCGCAGTCTCGCGTCAAGTGTGTGAACGCGCTGGGATGGAAAGGGTCGCGGGTGCACATTCACGGACGAGCCGGTTTTCATTGGGTCGAGAGCTGGATTCCCACAGCCGATGGGAAATTTTACGCGGGGCCACTGTCAAAGCGTGCTGGTGCCTTGTCATGCGGACATTAAAGACCGTGTGACACCATTCAAAATATTAGGTAATATAATGCCAGAGCCATTGCAGTCCCAAATCACAAATAAATAAAAAATGGCTCCACTAGAGTTCACACATTTCATAACACACTTCATATGACTACAGGTACCCAGATATTCTCTTGTGCAAACAATAATGCACTCTCACAAGGTTATCATAGATGGCCCTATTTTATTCAGGAAAGACTATGAGGCTCAATACTTTTTTTTTTCAAGATGGTCCTGCATTGGGGTCGTTTGGAAAAATTCCTGAATGAGTATTGCTTTCATATGGGATAAAACTTGTGTACCCAGAGAAGGTATTAAATGTGGCATATCACCAAAATTGTGTACGTATACTCGGCGTGCAGCTCTCTTTGCTCTCGTCATCTTACCCTTTCAGCCTCGCAAGTTGCGAGGCCCTCGCACAGTGATCTCTCCGTTTACCAAAAGTAGAAATTGTCTCTGCTATGAAGAAGGGCCTTTGCTCGAAACATCACCTAATACATATATATTTTCCCTTTTTAGGTCAGTATTATTGAAAAAAATGTATTGGTGCTTGCGCACCACGTGACTTTACCGAAAGAACTAAGAATATGAATTACTGCAGTCACGAAAGCTTTAAATCAAAATCTAATTTCTTTGTTTGGCCCGACTTTCACTCCAGTGCTCTCGATTGCAGGCACGCGCAACCGCGTCCGGCACACTGTGACGCCGAGTTGACTTGTTGCCGTAGGTGATGGCCAAGACCAAGGGGCTGGCGTGGCGGAACATCACCAAGCTGGGAGAGCTCCACGAAAAGCTGGGGCTGGAGCTGCCCGAGATGGTGCGTTTGGTGGAGGAGACTCTCCACTGCGAGCCGTACAATCGTGACGAGGTTTGCTCCCTGCTGGGCATCGCCTCCGAAGAGCTGGAGGCGTCCGTGCTGAGCGAAAACACTCGCGACGGTACGCGCGCTCTGCACACTCGGCAGCCGGTGTAGGCGCTCGGGAGGGCGGTTTTCACGGAGGTGTCGAGTGGTTTTTACGTAGGCCTCACCCCAGGAAACATTGTTGGGTGTGTTTGGCCGATCAGATTGTGCTTCGGTAAGTGTCGATACTCCACGATGGTCGACTATCACTGCGGAGTGGCTCGTTCAAACACACCAGCAACAATTTGGTCTTGAAAAAGAAAATTCGCGAAGGAACCAAACTACATTTACCAATTCCACGTTAACGGTCAAGTCAGCGCCCTACATTATCTTTATACAAGTGTTAAAAGAAGAAAACTATTGAGTTCCTTTGATATTCATGACATCGGTTGGAGGGATTTTGGAAGGGCATATGGTGTTCGGTTCAGGGCAAACCTGTCCCTCATGCATACAGGGCAACAATACAACACGATTTGAACAAATACAAAATACAGGCCACAACCACATCTTATCATGAAGAGTCTATAACTATGGGGCAGCACTTCTCTCCACTGATATTCCTGAGGCATTGGTGTAAATTCCACATTTCCATGGCAGGGCCGATTCATAGAATGGCCACTGCTGATTTTATAAACAGTGGAAATAATTGTATTGACCCTGGAGGGATGATAGCCCGAGTTGACCCTGAACTGATATTTCAACTCCGCAACCTTCCGACTGCGAGTCGAGCGATCGAATCGCAGCGTTTCCCCACCCGCTGACGGATATTATGAAATGTAATTTTATCATTCTTTGCCCACTAGGGGGTGCTTGACAGTTCGTGTCTTTGAATGAGCACTTTTTTTTTTTAACCACACACATCAACACACCGTTTGGAGTGCCTGCCCCGTGCGGCCCAGGTGCTCAGCTGGGCATCTAAGGACCTCTAGTTTGAACTTGGGTTCTAGCTTCTTTTGACACTTTGCCATGGCACAGTGTCAAATGCCACGGAAGCTCTCAGCCCCCCCTTCCCCCCCCCCGAGAAAACCTGATCATCTCCAAATGCTGATCTGTCATCTCTAAATGTTGCAGTCTTTTATCCCTAGCCAGTTTTGAGATCTAGGAGGTTGTACTTTCCCCCCCCCCCCTCCCCTCCCCAAAAAGCTGGGGAGAGAGAAATGAAAAGGAATGGAATATTATTAAACCAAAGGTATTTTAGGACAACCTTCTCGAAACACGATCGTGAAAAAAGATGTCCGAAAGGTTCAGCCATCGCGCGTCAAAACATAACCCGAGTCTGCATGCACCTCCACAAGCATGCACTCACCGCTCATCCACAGTTATGTACACAGGTACAGCCACACCTTTCCTCCCATACCAACGCACACCAAAAAACAGTGTTTATCAATGCAGTACAAAGTTGACCTTTAAGAAACCATTTGCCTCCTGTAAATTTCGAGTCTTAATTCATACTTGAAAGCTAGAAGTCAGAATATTCCCTTTGAAGTTGCAAAGCTAAAATTAGTTCAGCTTGTTTCATTTCTTTTCATCACTATGACCACAGCAAAAGCTGGTATAATTGAGAAAGGTTTATACGTTGAAACAATTCTAATCCGATGACCAATGTTTGCTTTAAAATATATCACTTTCAACCCTCTGTCCATGCATTGCTGGATTAAGGCGTCCACACGCCACATCGGTCACGGGTGTCGTTTGACCATACTTCACCGTGCCTGGCCAGCGCGAGTTCGTCAATGGGGGTGGGGGGGGGGGGGCGGGAAGGCCCAGCGCAGGCTCACATATCGCCGCTTGCTACGGATGTCGGCTGTGGCCGGATACGGAACTCCTCCGCACGACGTTTGCTTCATCCCAGCGTGGCTAATTTTCCCTGCTAATCAGCGTGCAAGTCTCTGCCGTTGTCTGAAACCCATCCCGACATCAAAGAGGCAGGAGAGTGCAATAAATGTAATTCGCAGTGCAAGCATCAAAGGCCACAGGAAGCAATCTGCCCGCACAAAAGTACATTTACCATTGTTATTGTATTAATTTATCGTGCTGTATTTATACGTGCAATGTTAATTTCCGCTTCACCGTGTTATGAGCGTCGTGCCATCACCAGGGGCTCAAGTGCTTCCGCGTGCAATGGGAAATGATTTCGGTAAATGAGGCACGTTTGTGAGTTGGTCACAGGATCACTTGTTTTTTCAAAGCTTTATACGGGTCCCACCTAAAACGTAGCCCCGGAGTCTACAAGTTTACAATGCAGCCGTATAAAATAACCACTTGGGCATAACATTTTAATGCTCCTCCCAGAGGCTACGTTTTACTGTAAGACGCTTTACAATTTAGCTGCATACATGCAGAATTACTAAAAATAAAGGTGAAATACGATTTCCCGTAACAGCATAACACTTGTTCTGCATCAACACATGCTTGACTGCAATGTACAATTGGCAAAGTTGGGGGGGTATTTAATGAGCGTGTTGTGATGGGCCTCTGGAAGTGATGTAATCCCATCCGCCGCAGCCGTGGGAGTGCTGCCAATGGTGATCGTCCCCAAACGCCGGGCAGGCCGAGGCGGGCCACCGGTTGTATTTACGCAGCATAGCAAAGCATTACAAGTGCGTTTTGTTCACGGTGTGTGTGTGTGTGTGCGCGCGCGACCGCCCTTGCATGGGCAGCTCTACCTGTGTCTCAAATACCTGCTTCGTTCGTCATCACAGGGAAGGTATGTTCACTATGACTGGCAAGCGGGAGCTTGTCGCCCGTGCAGGGGGTGGGCTATATTTAGCGTTGATTAAAACCCACCACTTTTACTTGGCCATGTTCCTCACATAGGCCGTGTTTAGGCGTCGGCTGCAGCATTTACGAACGTTGCCGCTCTCGCCTTTTCGCCGTTTTGACAGTCGCCGTCGTTAGGTGCGAGATTAGTGACGCTGGCACTTTAAAAAGTGGCAGCTCCTCCAGATAGCTTGTGTCAAACCAGGACAAATGGGCGCAGGCGGACAGGTTAAGAAGAACCGCGCGCGCGCTTTCTCTTCCCGGTTTGTGTGCGCGCAAGCGCACGTTCGGCATGCGCTTGTTTTCATCCCTTCCAGCTAACAGCTTCAAGCTGTATCAGCGAGCCAAGCACGTGTTCGGCGAGGCCGCGCGGGTGCAGCAGTTCAGACGGGTCTGCCAAGAGGCGCAGAGTGGGAGCGACGCGGAGGTGATGAGCAGACTGGGCGAGCTAATGAATGACAGTCACGCCAGCTGCCGGGACCTGTACGAGTGCAGCTGCCCCGAGCTCGACAAGCTTGTAGAGTGCTGCCTGTAAGTGTGGCCCCGTCCTCCTCCACGAGGTTCTCAACATACATGCTCGTTCGAGCCAGTTGTCCGCATATCGCCGGCCAGGTTACCAGTACTGACACTGCCAATATACATTTTTAAAAAAGGTGCACCCTTCATTTAGAGGAGGGTCGGTTTGTTGCCCACGGTTTGATTGTTAGCCAAGTTGAGACGCAAGAAGCTTTTGTCTTCAAATCGTGCCATTAAACTCATCAACACCCAAGGGGGGGGGGGGGGGTTATAAAAAGCCTTTTGCTGTGCAAATCCAATATTTATGCATGTGTTTTATTCAGCAACTTGGCCGCAGATGAATGACGCGTCCTGCGCATGTAACAAGTGATTTGTCTCCCTCTCGCCCTTGCAGCAAGAGTGGTGCCGTGGGCTCGCGCTTGACGGGCGCTGGCTGGGGAGGGTGCGCCGTGTCCCTGGTGCCTGTCGGGGAAATAGAAGCCTTCCAGTTGTTGTTGAAGGAGAGGTTTTACGTGGAGGCCCCACACTCTCGGCTCTTGGCATACAACAGCATGTTTGCGACCCAACCTGTCATGGGAGCCGCCCTCTACAAAGAGGCTTTGTGAATAGGGGTCCCCCCCCCACTTGTGGAACAGAGCTGCTGTGGCCTGTTACACGCGGGGGCCGCGTGTGCACGTCCACGTTTTACTGGAAGTTTCCATTCCCATGAAGGTGTGTTGTGATTGAGGAAGAAAAACAAAATCTTCATATCTGAGCAATTTCAATTCATCGGTTTTTTTCTGGATCCATTTTTCCGGATATATTTTTTTTCCACAATGTCCACTGGGAAATAATAGCACAAGGTGTTTAAGGTAAATAGGTTCAATATAAGGCACACATGAGGCAAAATATTGGTGGAACTGGCCATCGGTTCAGCTTGTTTAAGTAAAAACAATCTACGCACATTACAAAAAGATCTCCCCTGCGATTTCAACGGGGTCGGGCGCTTTACCGGCTTCTACAGGTTTGTGTTGCCCTGCCCGTGGTTCGTTTAGTATTCACGCAAACACTCCCATTGTTGAGAAATCAATACTTTACTGCGAGAAATTAGCAAGCATTACGACTTTTTTTTGTTTCATTTTTTGCCCCGGCGCTTTTCAGAGCGGCAGGGCGGTCACATGTCACGCGTGTTGTATATACGCGCCCAGTATAGCGGTTTGGACGGTAAAATTAGAGCGTTTTCAGCGATGCTGCAGTCCTGTCACATGAAGCCCCCCCCCCCCCTCTCCTACCTCCGGCTCTGGGTGCAGAGTTCATGGGAAAACGCAGGGCCCCTGCTGCCAGATCAGACGTAGGGGAAACCCGAATCCTTGTTGTGTGTAATTTAAGATCAGGGACTTGGCGGACGTTGGTGGGGGGGGGGGGGGAGAGAGACCTGTATGCTTTGGACGTGGTTGGACACGGCAGGTAGCCCGGCCCGACAGTCGTGGGTATAAAAACGCCGAGGCCAATGGAGAGTAGGTGGGTGGCTTTGGGGGTGAGCTCCTGGTCGTCCCACTCTTTAACTTCTCTCTCCCTATCCCTCTGAGTCACCCAATCTCTGAACTACCTCTTTGTGTGTCTTTACAAACTGGCTGAATGGGGACAGCGATTGAGATTAAAGGATGATTAAAGGCCTGGGAAACGTGAAACAGTGTAATGATTGTTGTAATCGCTTTAATGAATGTAATACTGTGGTATGTGTTACCTTCATGCAGAGGATTTTGGTGTATACATACTTATATTTTTAGAAAGGGGTAACGGTTTTTAATATTCTTATGCACAAATCATATTTGTATAAATAGTTCGCAACTAGTGATTTGACATTTAAAAATAACATCAATAATTTAAATGTCATCTCTACATTGGGGAGGATACGATTTGTGTATTCTCTGCGATGTCATGATTGCTTTCCATGAGTTTCACAAATTAATACACCGAATAAAAATCACGTAGAAAAAAATATAACATTGTGTTGCCCACTTGCTCGTGTGTTGTTTTTCGTCACGTCTAAAGCGATTTTCAACAGCCGCCACCAAAAAAAAAACCACATCGATTGCGGAGCTCCCAAATTTACTTCCAGCGTTGCGAGCATCTCGCCGAGGGCTGGCCTCTGTGCTCCTGGGTGGCGCACGGGAGGCCTCCATGCCACCCGGGTGCCCTCGCTCGCCTCAATTGTCGCCTTGCTGCGGTGGAGGAGAAGGTGGCGTAGGAATAAGGGCCGGTGGAAGGTGGTGGTGGGGGGGTGGAAGCTTTGTTAATAAAAAAACACGTTTTTCAACAATGGCACACAATGATACTCGGATGACACTCGGGGTCTACAATGACATTCTCGCGTCTACAACGGTTACGACGTTTTTGCAACGGTGTAGTATTCGTGCCGCCGCGTGTTAAATAGCCCTCGCGACAAGAGCGTACAGTGGATGCTTGCCTTTTTTTCCCCAATCCAGCACCCCCACCCCTCCCCTCACCAATCCCTATCGCTGTTTAAAATTTGTGCTAAATATTTTTGCATTAGCTCACAGATACCTCTAACGCAGTGATGGATTTCCAAACAAGGGCTTATTTGATTTGCGGTATTTGTAAAAAACCAAAGTGGAGAGCGTGAAGTGTAAACACGGACTGAGAGCTAACCCATTTGTCTTGCAGCTGTGCGCCGCGCTTCTGTGGCCTAAACGCTGCCGGCCTGGGATTCTCTTTACCATTTGTTTGCCGTGTTCCATGGCCAGATACTTCAACGGCAAGTGCCACGTACGGCGGGCGAGCGAGCGAGCGGAGCATCACGAAACAACAGATATGTTCAAGTAGAGCACGAAACCATTACCTTTATCGTAGGATTTTAAAGGCTCGGACTTGAAAGGCGTCAAATTGCGCGTATTAAATGTGGACATCTTTACACAATTGTACACGAACGACGGCGGTGACGAACACATTGCTTTGAACGCCCCGACGCGTCGCTTCAACCGCGACAAAGTTTCAACAGAAATGGTTAAAGTTCCCCGCAGCACGACATTTAAAGCCGGTGCGCGCGAGTGGGGCGGTTTCTCAGTTTGCTGTGTACAAAAACCTGCCAAAGCAATCGGCGGAGATCAATAAAGACGTCACGTGACGTCTCCGTGACCTGCGAAACAAAAACGGCGCAGGTGGACAGCGCAAGTGGCCTCCCGATTTTTCGAGCGGTCCATTTGGGGGGGTGGGTGGGTGGATGGGTTGGTAGGAGGAGGAGACAGAGAGGAGACGGCATGGTTAATCCCTCCCGAGCCGAGGCACGGCGTTACTGTTAAGGTGTGGTGATTAGCGCAAAGTACAGGATACCCGATAGTTACCCATTCAACCGCTCGGGCTGCTACATTGTGTTTGGGCCCTTTCATGTGTTTCTTCAACCAAAGAGAAATGGCTCATAAACACACAAACAGCGCGTACGGCGCAGGTGATAACCACCGAGAGGACAGAGGAGGAAAAAAAAACACACGGGGGCACCCAAAAACATCGCCCACTTTTTTCACAAGTTCAATGGACTTCTGGTATTTTTCTGCCTCTTCGCCCTGTTATTTAGGGGGGGGGGGGGAAACTTCAAATAATTTTCGTCCTTTAAGCATGCTATTTATTTCAGTAAGCTGCGCTCGTGATGGCCGAAGACAATGATTGCTCTGCCCGTTGCCATATTTTACAATCCACATCAAACGCAGCACCTTTTCCTCCTGCGCGCAGATCCTATTCTCGTCTGTCCCCGCGATCTCCGTGCACGTCCTGTGAAACATCAAAACAGCGCCGTCAACAATAAGGAGTGGGTGGCATCGCGCGAAGCCTTCTTGAATTCACATCTGTCGTGACCACGTCATTAACAGCAGCAGCAGCAACAGCAGCAGCAGCAGCCAAGGGTTTTCGTATTTTTTCTCAACAAAAAATATGTCAAAACAGACAAAATTACTATTAAGCTTTGCTTTTACAATGTCTTTTCATTTAGCGCAAGCTGTACAATTAAAAGAGAAGGAACTCAACACGGTGTTTAAATTATTGCTGCATTTGCAAAGCCTGAGTCACACGCAACCCGCCTGCGGTAATTGTCTTTGAGCTGCTTGTTTTGAGCTTCCCAGGCACCGATGACGTCCGCATAGGTTTGGCCAGATGCAGTGATACACGGGGCTGCAGTCAAGGGCAGCTGCGGCGTGCGATGGAAGGAACCCGAAAACGAAGCTACAAAACCGGCTGTGGTGCAACTGAGCATGAGAACCTGCCTCCCCACCACGTGCCCGGAGTAGCAAACAAAACAAAAACCGAAACAGGAGGATTTCTCCACAACTATGGCCGTCACCTGATGGTGCTGGTTGTAGTCACCGGCGAAACGTCGTGTAAATGTTGTGGGTTTACTCTCCAACACACCGGTGTGCTGTACTCGTAACGAATTGGCACGTTTTGTCGACGTGACAAAACTTACCGGCTGTGTCGGGTGGTGGAGGGTTACGACGCATTTATACTTACGCGATTTAACCCAAAAACCATTATGAATAAAAAAAAACTAAACTATGTTTATTTTAAAGGGTAAGGCCCACTGAGCCATATAGCTCTTTTTCAGAAGCAACCTGGCTATCACAAATGACGTCTCAACAAAGTGGCTTATCATCATCACGTGGAAATGTACAGCAGCCATATACTCTAAACGCGTGATGTTGAGTCTAAAATTTATTATTTTATTCTCATTCTACGTGACCTCCTGATTACCAGGCGAGGTAGTTAACATCTCGCCACCGTGACACAATGCATGAGGCACGGGGTCGCGTCCATCACTTGCGCCGTTGAACAGTCCACCGCGTGTAAAGGATATTACGGGACTGGCTTGACCTCGGTGAGTTTGACCCATCCACCGGCCAGACGGCCCCTGTAACCTGCAGCGAGGTGGCATGACTGGAGGACGTGGGCGACCAGGGGGCTTTGGCCACGCACATTAAACGGCACGCGCCGATAGGACTGGCCCGGTCCTACCAAATGTGACTGAAGGTGGGGGGGGGGGGGGGCGCGTGCAAAAAGGAAAATGAGCACAAAAGTGAATGAGACACGTGAATTAACATTGGGAGAAGAACAAAAAAACACGTAAAATTCATTCACTGGCACCGCCAACTAAGCGCGCTCATGATTAATGTTGAGAGTCAAGACAATGTTTTCCCCGCTCGTGGGCGAATTGGGCGATGCTCATCGTCAAAAGCCAAGCGGGCATCAAGGCTGGACGGTGCTTGAATGGGTGACCACCGTGCACACAGCTCGTTATTGACCGCAAACACCGAGCACCACTGACCAGCGTGGCGAAGTGCGGTCAAATAATTCGCACGATCCATACGACGTGGTGAGGACATCATCCTGCAGTGGATTGACAAACGACTGCGCATGTACGTCTCTCTGATATAGTCTCTCCTATGTCAGGTCCTTCTGTCAGTTTCTGCATCGAACAACCAGCATTAACGTCCAACAAAATAACACTCGTTTTTATTCGAAGAGATGATGGGTACGACGTAACAGTAGATTTTTTCTTTCTTGAAGCACAACTGTATAAGTTTAGTCAACCTGCCAATGTCGACATGCCGAGGTCTAAATGTCAAATCCTAGATCGTACAATTCATATTCTAACCTTATTCGAATACGACTGCCCGTGTATGTACGTACGTTGAACTTCTTTCACACCGTACGTCGCCAACCGTGCTAACCAGAGGTGCGCCCACCTTCCGTCCGACCTCCGTCGACCACAAAGGCACGCAAAATAAAACTGGCGACGAAGTCACACCCCGGATAACGTTCGAGAGCGAATTGTAACCCAGGCTGCGGTAACCTTAAATCAGCGCGGAATCGGGCGTCGGTGACGGAAAGCAAGTGGGGGACCGGGATTGGGTGTTGGGGGGGGGGGTGGGCTGTGAGAAGACTCCCAACGTCTTAGCGGGAGCCTCACCTCTCTGGTGTCGGCTGAAGCCACGCGGGCCTCTGCGTGCGACGGCAGCTCCCGGGGGTCACCCCAGCCCCGCGGCGCGCCAGAACGAGCTGCGTCTGCTCGCGCCGCCTCCACATCAAACCGAGGTAGGGTGCCCACTGTTGGTTTTGCTGAACACAGGGCAGCGCAAAGTGTGAGCCCTTGTAATAACAACCAATAAAGTTGACTGATTCACGTATTTTTTTTTGGCTAACAAGAATCATAAAAGGGAAGCCCCAGAGGATGTGAATCTGGCTTTTATAGGCTGAAAGGCCCTTTTTTGGATCTGTAACGTCACACGGGAGTTTTTCTTCTTGTTTCTGTAACCCATACTATTGAGGGGTAAGTGCAATAAAGTTAGCTTTTAATTGGTGACATGAGGAGCCCTCCGATATCAGGATGACAGTAAAACAAAAAAAAATAACCATTGACGCAGGTTTTTTTTGATCTGCATTGTAATTTTTTGGCCTTTATTACCTGCAAATACCAGAGAGAGAAGGTTTGGGTTACATTCTGTGAGTTCTACTGATATGAGGGACCATATCCTCCCAGTTGAACATTAATGAAGCGGAATTTTCCATCAATGATGACATTTCTGCTGTCAAGTTGCATTGCAACATTGCGCACAATGGAAAAATTCCTGTTTATGATTACAATCATCATCCAGAACTGCATTTTTTTTTCCAAAAAAAGTTTTGCCTTTGAACATGTATTTTTTTTCATTCTTTAAAGTCAACGTCTTGTACCGACAAAATTCGTGTCTTCCCTACTACCTCATGCCCTATTTATTTCCTCCCAGGTCTCCCTCACGATATCTCTCAGTGGAATCCCACCTGGTTTGAATAAAGGAGCGATATGATTTTTTTTTACTACTACACATTTGACAGGTTGTCTCAGTCACACAAAAAAACACGTCCAGAGCATCGCGGCACATCACCGTCACAAAATAGTAATGGGAGCCGATTCTTACCTTTACCGTGAACACCTGAAAAATAACGTTTTGGCAAGGGGGAACAAAGTTTCATTTTAAGCGTTCTAGAAAGAAATGGGCTATGAATGCAGTCTGAGCCCATTCGTGCAGTTATAAAGGGGTGGTAATGAGAGATCTGTTCTTTAGAAACTCCCTCCATTCCCAGCACAGCCAAGCATTTCTGTTTATTCCCAGCTGAGATGGTCTGCGATTGTGGCCTGCAGCGTGCATTGTGTTGGGGGCCCATTCACTTTGCAGACCAAATCATGATGTCAGACCGGCATTACCACATTCACCACCAGCCATCGTCATGAACTCATCACTATCATCGTGATCATCATGCTTCTAACTATTAGAGTTGAACGCAACAAACTTTTTTTTTATTTTACTCCCCATTGTGCATCTACACACCGGCTACTTATTTTGCTGTTTGCTGCCTGTTGGAAAACGATTAAACATCATGTAATCGTAACTAATCTTGAACAAACGTGACACAAAATCGACAATGTTAACTCGGGTGGGAGCGGCGGCGGCGGCGGCAAGGGCTGTCGAGCACAGCGCGATGAACCCGGTGACCCGAGTTTGATTCCATGCCACAGTTTACAATAGCGGCGGGGAATGTCTGAAGCAGTGCTGCCCCGACTCCCCTCTTCTGAACAAACCTGCACTGACCAGCGTGGTGAAGTATGGTCACACAAAACCCCCTTCAACGGGCGCGGCATAGGCAAGCCTTCATCCAGCAGGGGATTGACAATGGGCTGTAAATTATTATTTTCACTCAAATTCCTAGCTCAAGTATTTCTATCCATTTAACAGCAGCCTAATGCTCATTAAACAATATTTACCTTCTTCATTAAACAGTTGGTCGTTTTAAGAGAGTCATAAAAGTGCAAGACACATTGAACGCCCCTATAAAAATTCCCTCCACCATTTGCCTTCTTGCATTAACTTGGATAATTTGTCATTACAACTGCAATACGTATCCTTCCAAATAATACAAATATTTTATGGGATTAACATGCAATAAAGGTTAACATTTGCTAACATTTTGAAATAAAATCCAATGCAGTACTAACCTCCAAAGTTACAAAAGTTCCACTTGGGGAAGAAGGAAAAAAAAGTACTGCAAGGTAACATTTGGCACAGAGATACATGAAATGTCCCGTGAATGTGTTACGGATGGCCTTGCCTGGACACAATCTCAGCGATCCTTAAAAATACATTTTGTCGTCTGAAAACACTCGGATAGACGTTTAACGATAATGAACACAGGATAAGAAGCGTATAGATATATTTATTCTTAAATAACGGCAAGAAAACGTACAAAGTCATCGCTCGGCATCTGCCAAGGCAAGATAATGAAAAGCCCCGACTTCGTGTGCAGTCATTCTCGCCGGCGTGCTTCAAGCCGCGATCAATGGAAACTACATTTTCCAAGAATGTTGTTTTGTTTTGATGTGTTTTGGCTTTTTTTTTACTTTTACCCAAACACCTTTTTGTGGGTTTAAGATGCATTATGCGTGTTGTTTGGCCACGCAACTCAAACCACAGAATTCTTTTGGGGCAAAGCGTGCCCAACACAGAAGCGGTTGAGGGTCACTGGCCGTGCAAGGCTGGGTGTGTGTGTGTTCTGTTTGCTTTCTCGAAGCTCAGTGTGGAATTACCCCCCCCCCCCGCCGCGCGCCCATCAAGATGCATCTAAATCCCACTGAATATGGTATTTAAAACGATTTTGGGCTCGCAAGCATAACCAAATACACAAGGCAATTAAATGTTAGCATACTTGCTGTGTTTTCCCCAGCATCATGTTTACACTGTGTATTTAAAACAATTTTTTTTTTATAAAAAGCACACTTACAAGCAGTGGGCGGGGGGAACATCCCTGTGTTGTAATGAATCTGGTTTGCGTGTGCCAAGCCTGTACAATCTATGGAATTAAGGGAACTAATTCCACAGCAATGACGTCACACGTTCCAAAAATATGCCCTCTTCATATTGTGTCTTCTGATATCCTATAATGTTTCAGTGCAATTTTGAGCCCTTTTAGTTTTGAACAGGAAATAAAAATGAATATCTTTAAGCCAACTTAAAAAAAAAGTTGTCCTTCTAAAATGCAAATGAAACCTATCCAAAAAGAATAATACATGGACTGAATTTTACCAGGCAATATCTGGAGATCTAAAAAAAATAATAATTCATTTTTCAATAAGCTGCCCAAAGCAATAAAACGTTGAAAATAAACACACGACTCATAACGGGCGTTAAAAGGGCAGGAACACCTTTGATGTTCGACTAACCGTTGTGAGGGAACGCAATTAGTGCCGCTAACGAGCAAAGTGAGCCAGAAAAGACTGAAAGGAGAGCAAACTTTGGTCTGCTCGAGGGTAATGTACCCGCAGTAAAAGCTTCCAAAATGCCTCGACTCTGCTGCGGTCCCTATGAGCTCCCCTCCATCCGTATGATCGCCCTTGCGGAGAGAAGCCTGCAGCTGAATGATTTTATGAGCTATGGTTACCCCCCCCCCCCTCCCGCCCTGCGTTTATGATGCAAATTCTACTTTTGCAACTTTTTTTATTGAGGGTGACCTGCCCTAATGCATTATCTCACAAAAGCACACACACACACAATGACAACACTCTGTAATGATGAGCCCAAATGAACACACTGCACGTATACATTTAAATGTAGTACGCAGGCAAATTCAAATAAGACCACTGGTTTAGTTTTTTGGAGGTAATAATGCCACAGAATATTTTGGGTTGTGAACCGACCATTTGATAGAATAAAGACTTCCAGGTGAAAATATAAAGCACGTACAACTGAGATTTCATTCCAATAAAGTCTGGACTCTCCTAGGGAAGCATGTGTCTCTTATATTGTTGTTATAAAGAGTGCCAAGTCTTATTTCTAAGTGTTACATCTGCAACCTCTTTATTAAGCAATGACAATCAATTTTCTAAAATATTATACGTAAAAAAAGGTGTGTACATTGGGCACACTTGTGTAAACACAATACATTATAATGGATACTTGCCTGACCATTAATAATGCAAAACAGATGAAGTTCACGATAACCATCTCTGCATGAGAAAAAAAACAATCAAATGTAGGATTTTGCTGCGCGGGCCATACTCATAGACGAAATCCCTGCACACCCACGTGGCACAAAGTTAGCACACGTTCACGCGGCGGGCGGTACACGTCAAGCGAGCACACAAATGATGTTTTTTTGCGCAAAACACGAGTCATTCTTTGAAGCCACCACCACCCCGCATCAAAAAAAAATCTCCACAAACACCAGCCTTGATGAGCATCATCAAGGCTGGTGTTTGTGTGTAGCAGCGGCCGATTAAGCAGCCTACAGCAGCTCCAAGGCAAGGGCAGGCCCTCAGCTATTGCTGGAACTCCAACCATTCCTCTAATAGTGCTGGCGGTCAGCCAAATAAACGGGACCCTGTGCCTCCATACCTGTTTTGGCAAGTCAGACCATACCAAGTAAACAAGGAGCGTTTCTACTCAATGCTTTCGTCTCTCTCTCTCTCGCCTCGCTCTCTGCCTCCCTGTTGCTCTGCCCTCAATGAATTGATCTCACGTTGTGTTATATAGCATATCGCACCGCGACCATCGTGCTGCAGAGAGCATAGTTCTCCGGAGGAGTCTCCAGGCCCACACCCCCCACCACCCCCGTGCCTGCCGCGCTGCTGGAACCGACATGTGGGACTGATATCGGTTTATTTATCCGTGTTCTATAGAGATTTGGAGGGATACAGAAAACCAGGAATGTAAGTCACGTTTTTTTCTTTCTATTTTCTCAACACGTATCGGTCATAATTAGGCTGCCGTTTATTTAATTTTTCTGTGTACCGAACTAATTTATTGCTTGCGTTATTCCATCCACCGCTGAGAATCTTGCCATTGAGAACTCTGCACCGGCAAGCCTTAATGACAAGACATTTATTTATTTTTAGCTTGAACATACGCTGGACTTTTGTTGAAATATTTTTAAACTAGATTAAAACCGAGAATATATACACAGATACATGGCAATTCAAAGAATCCATAATTGCGTGCAAGTGTTATGAATGTGTTTCCGTTTTAAGGAGATAATAACGTTCAGAGTATTTTAGAAATGTTTTTCTTTTAAGTGTATTTGAAGAAACG